AATCGGGATTCACAGTCCTCAACCAGATATCAGTTTGCAAATCTTCGGAACTCAGCCAAATTAAAGAACGAGATTACATTTTTCAGCATCAGTGTCAGGTCAGTCCCTATAAACGGTTGAAAAACTTGCACTATATGTAACGAAAAGGATTGCTAACAAGTTGCAGACTGTTGCTGCCTTCTGTGACTCCATAATGAAGATCAAACGGCCAGAGAGAATAATTGACGAGAAACCAAGCAAAAGCCTATTACTCAAAAAATGTGCAGGAGTAAATGGCGAGGGACCGAGCATTGGCTGAAGAGAATGTCGAAAGACACCGCGCTTAGTGTAGGCCATCATCTAGCTAGAATCCAAATGGAAAGTGACGAGTGGGTCGTCAGTGTTAGGGTGACATGGAGGAGATCGTGTGAGACGGAGATGAGAGATTGTAGGCGATCGCGAACCCAAATGATGAGGATGACGCAGAAAAGAACAAACCGGAAAGGTGTTGTTGAAGCATTAATTTCCACTAGGAACCCAAGGGATTCCTAATGAAAAATTCGGATGGTTATGTCTCATATGAGACATAAGTTTCTAGTGAACATGACTATCTTTAACGTCATATTGAAGAAGTAATACAAACAAACTAGCGCATTGATTGCTCGATTTTGTTCAACAACCTCATCATTGATTCCATAGTGAATTTCAAGACAGTACGACTTCACATTTACTTTAAACCATTCGCTTTATGTATAAAACACTCAATTGGTTAGTTCTGCACCAAGTTTTTCAAGTAAATGTTAATTCTTCCTAATTATTTCTTACTCACGTTTACCAACATAAAACCTTTCACGCAAATATATTCACTAGATTAAAGGTGCGTTAGATTACCTGATGAATTTCTCACTACAGTCACTACATGTAAGTTTAGAGCAGTCTTACTGTATGCAGCATCCAGTTTCTCATTTATGTGATACATGAACTAGGGTACATGGTTTGCAGTAGCTCTTACTTGTAGCATGAAGTTTTCTTTTCACTCATTAGCTACTTGTAAAGATTATTTCACTTGTAACAAATGGAACCAAAAATGTGTCAATTGTTCAACAAGCATCTCACGTTCACTGGTGAGAACTTGAAGATTACCTCGACAGTCATGAAGTTCTTATTCAAAGTGACTCAATATTAAGGATAAATCAGAAAATTCTCCGTGCCTCATAAATCAAGATCAACACCACATTGTGGGAACCAAACAACTGAGCAAGGATTCATTGAAGAAACCAGTGCGAAAAAATATTTGTGCACACAAAACAAAAAAATTGCATTTCGAAGCATTCACATATAGTTGAAGAATGCAGTTTGAGATGTTTTGCTTAGGAGTAAAGATGACTTTATCGAACTTCATGCTCTCTCTGTCTCTCGGCCTAGTCCTTCAAAAAATGCCAGTTATTATTATTAGGAAAATTAGTGTATTACACTGGGCTGCTTTTCAGTGAAGGCATAGCGTACTTTCCTACAGTGCCAGAAACTCTCACAATTCTCTCTCACTCACACACACGCACAGACACACACTGTCCCTCTGTCTTTCCCTTTATCTTTCTATCTGTCTTTCTCGATCTCAGTGTATATCTCTCCGTTAAAACGAAATCACGACACACACGTGTGTTTATCACACAGACATACATGAACATACACGTTTTCTCTCGTGAATACCCCCCCAACATGCACTCAGGTTAATTCCATCCTCAACAGTCTCACTGTGATGAGAAAACGTTCACCTCATCATCACTTGAAGGTCACATAGATTCGGTGGAGAACATAACTCCAGCACTCTAAACAAATACACACGCACACGCGCAAACACAAGCAAATACAGATTGAATCACACACTCATCAACTCACACCGCATTTCTACCAGTCAATTCGCCACTCTTGCGCTCTCACACACTCTCTCTTTCTCTGCCCAACACTGTTTCTCACACTCTCTTTCGCTGTCTCTGTCTATCTCATTGTTTCTCTATTCTCCACATCATATCATGTGAACCAGTCGTCAGCATTCATTACTGGAGAGACAGACTCCTGTGACTTTTGTTAATTGTCTTCTCTTATAGTGATACAGTAGTCCTACAATTTCGTGATATCTGAATGCCAATCAATGATGAATAGTGGATTTCTCCAGTCCCCATCTCTATACATTATTCTTGGTGTCTTCACACTATTAGTAGCTTGTGTCAGTTGACTCAATGACTACCACAGACAGATACTAATGTGGTGACACTTAAGGAATATACACATATGATCATAGGAATTATCGAAAAGACGGTTGCAGCAGAGAAGATTTTCTTTTCGACGAAGTCGAATCACCACAGCTCATCTCATCTAATCTGAATTCATTTTCATCCATCCTTCCATGCATCCATCAGAAAACTGACGAACACGCATCCTCAGTGAGACTGAGATACATCAGAATTCACCGAGGCAGTAGTGCATCACTGACATATCACTTCTACTTCATCAGACTTTGTCCACTCGTCAATTGCGAAGTCATGAATTCTACTATCAGCTTAGCTTTCTCGTCTAATTGGTTGCAACCGCCACCTTGTTTACCTGGGGTGACAGTGAAGTATTAAAATCCACTGAAGTCCCAAATCACAATAATAATTAAGTAGTCATGGTACATTTGAGGAGATTAGAGCATATGCATACACTGTAGTGCAGTACAGTTGGATTCCACCATATAAGGAAGAAATTCATTCGATTAGACAAGTACACAGTAAATAATTCATTATTACTGTATCAGTGTTTGATTTTATCACACACAAGATTCTCCTATCATGGAATATTCAGTGGTGATACAGGCTTGACTGGAAGAAATCAATGCTTCTTTCAGTCAGCACTGACAATCATTACTCGACCACTGTTGTTATTCATTTACCTGCTCACTGTATGGACTGACTATCTGACTGTTGGACTGCCTGGCTCACCCCTGAATCATTGACTCTTGACTTTTATTCACTGTGTTCCAGAAATATCCATCGGTATATGAAGGCCGAAAAGAAGCACGCGATTTCATCAACACTAGGAAACCTTAGGAACAAATACATTTCTATCATCCCTCTTGCACTTTCGCCCTCTGTATTGCTCGCTCGCTTTCTCTATCCCTCAATCTCACATGAGCAGCTTGATGATGATGAAAAGCATGCAACCAACAATCACTTGATTATGAACACATGAGAATTTTGACTTATCCACATATGCCTGCAATCATCATCCAATTAACACTCTACTCATCCATTCATTAATTCGACAGATTGATCATCATACTACTGACACAGATAAATACACACATGCACATACCTAGACAGACAAACGGACAGACAGCCAGACAGACACACTCACGAACTCGCTGATGCATAACCAGTAACATGAAAGATTTCGCAAGTATCATCGTGTCAAAGTGTTTTGAGATTTTGACTGACACGAACGAGAGTCGTGTTTCACGATTGAAAATCGTACGAACGCTTTGATTTGCTCACGGTCTAGTTTTCGATAGCATATGTCGCTTTATACAGGAGTTGGCGTTTCTGTAAATGGTCTGTGATATAACAGGACAACCATTGTGTTTCGTACATCATTCAGAATGTTGTTAACAAGGTTTGCTTCTCACTATTTTTGCCTTAATTCGACTTTATTTTAGTATAAACGACATTCACGTTAACCCCTGTCCTACAATAAACATCTCAGAGATTTGAATAACGTTTTGAAATTCAATGCTATTTTGAACGCATTTCAGTAATTAGGAATTTTATCACTGTGGAAATACGAGCTCTCAAAACTAATTTTTGACTTATCCACAGGGCCTTAAATTTCGTCATTCTCAGACCATGATATGTCTTCATATCATGGATGACGAAATTTCTGTATTCGAATAAAGCGTAATGTGTTTTAGAATTTACATTCAATATATTATATTGTTATCTGCGGTTAGCAAAATAACCAATAAACAATCAACCCATATGTTATCAATCTCCCCGTGAGTAGAACATCACAAGTCACCTTAGACATTGTATTTCATGGAAATCCACGTAACAAATAACTTTAAAATGTTGCGTTGATGAGATTTCTTTGTGCGTATATGTACCTTGTAGTCATTGACATATAAAAACACATTTCATCATTGACTGCTCGATACACTTCGTCCGACAAAACAATAATCATCGAGTTGTCGCAAATATTAGGCCTTTTTGTTCTTATTAGCTACTTCATTCTGACACATAACATTCTACTAAAAAGACAGAAAACACCAACTGGAACAAGATCTTACGAAGGAAAATATTATATTTAATTAAACAAAAAAGAGATAAGAAAACAACGTATTTCCTTCACCAATATTGCTTCAATTCCCTTGGAAGCAAATTCATTTTCCTGCAGCTGAAACAAAATGAAACCAGAAACAGAGTAAAACTGAGTTGAAAGTAGACACGTATCGTGTACAGCAGAAAATATTATCGACATTTTTCATCTAACTGACAATCACAATAATCCTCAGGCAATACTTTCAGTGAATATTGAAACACAGAATAATTGTGTACATTATCTGCTTGATTCCAAGTTACAATTCCCCTCACAGGAAATGAGCTATGCAGAGTACCATCTGAATTTAAGATCTTTTCAACGGTTGTTACAACACTGATATTGGGTGCAGCAGGCGACTGGGATCATGTGGCCGGTCAGCCAGTAGCTCAGCCATCATGGGCCTGTTCAATGATGAGTAATCAAGAAATGCGAGTAAACAGAAGTTCATTGGTACTTGGTTCTCAAGGACTCATCTAGCTGATTTCAGCAAACCACGAAATCCATCTCCAAGTTCATATTCAGTTGTTCAGTTAGCTTGTAATTTAAAACACGCTGAGGATATAAGTAGGAACTTACTTCAATAAAACTGCTTGGCATCTTCCTTCATTTCAGCCAGGAGCAACTTTATTCTATCTTCTAGGGTTTGAACTAGTCAGTTGTAAGTCATTTCAATATTTCAACTTACACTTCAAAAATTCAATCCTCTTGATTTCCAATAGTTTTATTTTTTCACCTAGTTCCTCTAAAACAGTGAATAGATTGTCAGTGACGCATTATTACCATTTTTAATGCTACTTCGCAACAATATGAAATGAAGCTTAAATCTCACTTTGCTCGATCATGTAATGTAGTCTCCATGTAACTGTTATTCTGAACTTAACAACGTATATCATAAATTTGTATGGCTATATTGCATGATGCATTGATGAAGTCACTGAAGTTTCATCGGAGTAGTTTCGCATTTCATGATAATATGAAATTAACTCTATAAGAGCAGTAAATTGGACGCTTTTGTGCATATCTATTTAAGACCGAATTGTCAACAACAATAATACTGCTGATTTTATCAACAATACAGCCTAATTTGGTATAAGTGAAAACGATGACTTGATAATATACACATCCTTAGCCATGTAGGCTACTTTTGTCTCTTAAGAAAATAAAATTCACTGAGAGGTGCATTCATCTCTAGAACTATGAAATATCACATGTGATCAAATCAAATAACCACGTAAAATTACTTGTGCCGATGGCAAAATTAATACGAGCCTTCTGATACACTTCGTTTACTCTAGCAGCATACAATATGTCTGAAATGAATAATAACTTGTTATCAAACTCAGATTCGATTGCGTACTCGAAATTATTGAAGGGAAGTACTTCATACAAATACATTCAATGTGTAATGAGATATGCGTAAGTAATTTCCGCGCTTTGTATTTTCAATTAGTGAGTAAATTCTAACTTTCACGTATCGTTTGGTGGGTCTGTTGTCTTTACCTTAACATCATCTTCAAACTGAAGATCTTCAAGAACAAGTCACTTTCAATTCAAAATACCATGCGTTAATCTGTTCATAATTTATCCGATGTTTCCTTGTTGACGATCAAAATTTAATTATTTCTGACAACCAGCTAGTAACGGTGATCCAATTATGATGATGTCATTCTCTGGTAAACATGAAGTTCATACCTTGCTTGTTGTAGTAATGTCATAATTTTCAATCAAATATGAATCGCATGGAGCTTAGTGATGAATACATTTCGAACTTCGAAATATTGTAAGCAAGGTAAAATTGTTCGCTCACCAGTTCTAGATCTTCTTTTCTCCGAAGTTCGGAAATATTCTAAGTAATAATAATACAGTCATGTGATATGATTATGAGAAAACGATTCCTCTAGAAGCGACATCTAGTTATGAATACCGTGACAATGTGTGTTATATTCACCGAACCTATCTCATATCGAATTCTATTCTACCACAGTATAAACTATTTCACTCTTACAGTCAACGTCATCTTCAATTGGTTTACTCTTTCGTCTGCTTTCCAATGTAAAGCAAGGTAGAAGTCAATCTTACCTTCATATCATTTTACAATTGAGTGGAAATTATCAAATAGTTGTGGAAACGTATGTTCGTTAGACGTCTGTGTGTTGAAGACTAATTAAACGCCCCTACTTTTCATACATAAGCATCATCACGTTCATCGAATGGTGAATCGTAATAGACTTGTTCAATGATTCATTGTACCTTGAACAACACTGATCAAATTGGTGAATAAATGCACTCACTTAAAATATCTCTGTGTTGATGAGTTGCAGTGACTGCTGCCTCTTCCAGCCATTCAAGCTTATCTAAAAACAGGAAGTGTTGAATGATATTTAAAACGTTTATCAATAAACTTCAATGTCATATTTATCATTATAGTGTGAATAAATTTACAGAATCCGTTTACCTTTGGATATTTTCACTGCTTCCTTTGCTTCCATAAATTCCTTCTTCATCATTTCAATTTGAACTATAATTTCACAGTATCGAAAAGTATGAAATGTTTCATTGTGTGTTCTTCATTATGAAATAATAATATTAACGCAATGGCTTCCGACTGTCGCAAAACAAGGCAGCTAAGCACATGACATTTCGAGTAGTTTACTGATATCAGTAACGCAAACATATTCACTAGGTGTACACTGCATTTATACTGCATCTGTGCTTAACTTCAAGGTTCGCTTGACGTTTTTCACTATAGAACAATAATCGTTTCCATAGAATGTTGAAATTTTTTTAAAATAATTTGATAAATCATTGAATGAATAATCGTGTCAATGGTTTTGCATTTTACAAGTTGTATGTATAAAGACATGCTATAATTAAAGGAGATTTTGCCTGTAAAAGACTGATGCGGCGTCTGATACTGATTAGATTTATCAGTAGAATTTAAAGAGATGCTCTTCAGCGTAAAAACATCGAATAGCAAGGAGATGGATTTGACGTCAAAGCAAGCAAATGATTCAGCCTTTCAGTAAAACATGACAGATGTGATACGAATACGAACAAATGTATTATAAAGGAGTGAAGAAGCATAAGGCAGAAGATCTGTGTAAATGATGGTTTGAAGATAAATTTTACATAATTTGGCGATTTGAAGATACAAAATCCGGAATAATCATTGCTTTCCCAAGTCTCTTTTCTTCTATCGTTACACTGGTAGTTCACTGCGTGAACATATTTCTGTCCATTATTCTGGGTGAACCGTAGTGTAAAAGGCACAGATGTTGACACGCACACACACATTTCGCACTGAAGAATAATAAACTATGTAATACACTTTGTACTTGTTGATGATAAAATGTGCATAACAGTGTTCATTGTCATAATTTTCATCACGTAGTACTCATCAAGATGACCCTTATGTGAATAGATTTCCGATTAAAATCGACCTGCGTCATTACTCGATATGCTGATGCTCAGTGAATTCGGGCAGATATAGTGTTCAGATGCATAGAAACAGCTTTTCCACTCATTCAAACAACTCGAGAATTGAATTGAACAATCAACTAGCCGCTGTCTTTGGTTGTCATAAAGGATATTGATACATGGTTTATTACAAATAAATTTCACCGCATTTCAGTGGAATTGTGAATATGTGTATTGATTAGATCAGAGTAACTACTAATCACAAAATGACGACAGATATTTCAGCGCAGTTAATAAGTTACGAAGATTAAATTCCAAACGGAAAGAAAACCAACCTTCGTCTTTCTTCAAATTGCCTGATGTCTTCGCAAAATATTTGGCTGCAATCGATGCATAACGCCATAAATAAACTTCCAGGTATACGATGAATCCAACATTATCATAATCAATTTACTCAGCTGTCATCAATTCAAATAACCGGCTTGCTAGGTACAAAGCTTTGTGAGAAAATGCTATCAAACCGTCGAGTAAGTGTACTGTAACTCACATATCGATGGAAAGTAGTCATTTTTCAACTGATTCTAATGACGAAATATGATTAAGTGAATACATGGATGTTGTTCACTTACTATCGATTATTCTCTGAACTACTCTCCATTATTCGGATGGTACGTTTACGCACAGATATTCTCATCATTCTCTATCAAGTGTGAATGTCAGTGCTGATGAGAAAATCGCGGATATTCAAGAAGTCTCAAAATACAAATTATCGTGGACATAAGTCAGCGAGGGAAATCAATGAAATGTGCAGAACACTCCTACAGATTATCGTTTTCTCCTACAACGCCATCAGTTAATGCGAGATTTAATTTAAGACTGTCAATAAGTGATGTTTTCTCGCTAAGTCAGATTTCACACTCGTGGGTGTGATTTTAAAAGGACATATCACTATTCCGATGTATTGTGGTAAATCTTGTGTGAAAATGAGTTTTTGTGGCTCTACGCTCTTCACCTAATTACAAAATATCATCATTTGCTTTCTTAGAAAATATCAAGTAACCTACTGCCTTTCTAAATAGTGGAATCATAAAAATTTTACCTTCTGCAATATCGAGATTTTTTCGATTTTCCCATTTCTTTGAAATATGCAATTTCGTCTGATTGTATAATCCTTTATTAGCTGAGAAATAAATAAAAAATCACTAGGTTTAATTATTACTTATAAGCTCTGTATGATCTTGACTAAATGATTTTTTTCATCTGTGGAATGTTCCTCCAACATGATGACACTGGTAATATATCTGCATACCTTAGTATGATTCAGCTTCAGTCATCCAACAGATTTCAGCGTAATATCATGTATCAACCACTGATTTCACCTAAGCCATGTATAACAATTGTGAATGTGACCAGTTTTTTGTAAGAGTAGGAAGCAATATGACCACATATATGCAGTCTATGAAAATAATCACCAGTTGAAACGATAATATCATCAATCAACAGACAAATAAGCTGGAGATCTTCTGAGTATCACTAAGACAATCGATCTTGGTAACAAATCACTATTAGGACCAAAAAAGAGAGCAGTCTACTTTGGTAAGAAATGTCCTGACGGCGACCAGATTTATCCTCACATAATTTCACTCAAAAATGTTTTGATAGAGAAGTGCGATTGACGTGAATGAAGAGGAAGTATGATTGAAGATTGATATAATGACTTGACACAAAACACCAGTTCAAAATCTTTAGTTCATTCCTAACAGAACTGGTCACCTAATTTCAGAGAACCAACGAATTTTCGATTAAGTGGTATTACAACTTTTAGTTAAGAAATCAATCATACCAAGAACTGCGTAATTAAAAGAGGTATCTTTTTCCAGTGCCTTTCTGTATTCATCTATAGAGAAAGAAAGCATTGTTATGGTGCATATTTAATTACTTAAATAGCCAAAAATGTGAAGCGTGTAATTGTACACTTAGATAGTAGGAATGTGTGAATTGAGTTAATTTATAAACAGATGACATTGCGTACGGTATCAAGTTTTCGCAACAATCGGACAGTCATTTTTAATTAGAATAGTTAGGCACATCTCTCTCAGCAGATATCATGGATGAATGTTGCTGGTGGGATCAGTTTGGATTGAGCGGAGACAAATGATGAGTGAATCTCACAGTATAACTGCAAATCGTCATCAATCATAGGCTAGAATAGCAGTCAACTGTTTAACTTATCCTCATGGAATATGAGAAGACTTTAGACAAAGTTGACTGTGAAGTAACCTGTTTGCCAGTATGCAACACTGCTGAGTGCTGAATACCCTGATGTATCTCATTCAACAGGCATAGGATTATGCCACTTGCGTAACAGCTTTCAGCGTAAAGTTCATTAGAATCCGTTTAGGTTAAGACAAGGCCGTCTACTAGCACCTATGGTATTCCTATGGTATTTTTCAGAAGGGAACCATTCGAAACATCGTTGGGAATGAGCATTTCGTAATGTAACTGAATAACTGTGGAGTTGTTCAATCATTCGACATTTGATTGGAATAAAATAGAATTATATAATCAAAGTGTCCAAATCGTGTAAATTAACCTAAGATATCAGTGGACTCTAAATAATATTCGGAATGTTATCAATGATGCATGCTGTTTCATTGCATCATGTATGCATTGAACAGGTCAATGTTGAAGAGGACATTGTAGAGAAAGTGGATGATGGAGGATATTGTTTCACTACTGAATACCACGTCACTCGTGATTGAATTGACGACAAATTTTAAAATGCTTCATTAAATGGACTAGATTGCATTCGTATAGATGAGCGATAACGTCTTCTTTTGTTAGGCTTGTCAAATAAAAATCAATACAAACACCTCCAGTGACATCTGTCACACTGACTGATTTCAAGCTGACGTTCATTCCACAAACAGTAACATGGTGTTTTTGTCTTCAGATTCCAAATGTTTTTCCCCATGCATTCTGTTTATTATTTTAGGAAGAAATAACCCACCAGTAGAAAAATCCACCAGCTTCTTATCTTCTGCACCGATTGCTGTAAAATTGTAGACAATTGTTTGCGAAATTATTTACTTGCAATTGGAGGCATGGTAAGAAAGTAACAGTTAGAAAACCTGAAATGTATGCTGAGTGTTTTTCAGACATGAAAAGTACAATAAAGCAAAGCGGAAAACAGAAGCTGTTTGTTTTTATGCCAACTTGTTTGAGGCGTTATATAACCTATCCATCAGACTATACTATATCTGCGTTGAAAAGAATATTGAAAGGTTAATCAACGGCGTTCATTCTGCAGATGGCACCATGTAGTCAACATTTATGTTATAATTCAGTATTTAATGTTATGTGTATAAAAAAGATGTGTACTGGAATAATTTACAAAATGTGCATATGAAATTCATTCCTAAACTGGAATAAAATGTTGCAGACTATTTGTTAAAAGAATTTTTTGTGATACTGACACCAGGAGACCACTCTCCTTAATACTAGTTTTGTTAATTTATTTGTCTAGTAATTGAATTCTTTGGCCATTTCTAATGACACTGCAATTCATTTCAATTCGCAAACCAACATATTTAACTTCAGGGAAAACTCACGCCTTTACTGAACACACGGATCATTTCAGGAACATCAAAGAATCGTATGCTTGAATGACAGGACTTACATTCGAGGAATTCCTTCGCCCATTTACTTTGATAAAGGTGTTCAAGTCTCAGGATTTCTGTTTAGAGAGTAAAAAACACAAAATTAGGGCATGTCGTAATGTTGGTTTACACAGGTTATTCGTTAAGTGAATTTCGATTTTAAGAAAACAGAAAGATTGAGAGAAGAAATATTTGCTTTTCCGTTAGATCCTCATCTAATTGCCATTTGATTGATAAATTGTTGTGTATGGTATTAAAATTGTCATATATATTATGGTGGAGCCCGAGATGAAAATCTAATTGAAAAGTGAATATTTCCTCGCTCAATCTTTCTGTTTTCTAAATGTCTAAATGAGAATTTTGACTATTGATATGATGGTGAGAATATATTTCTTATTCTCTATTTAACGTTCATCATTCTAATTCGGCACTATCTAGTGCTGAAGTTAACAAATCGCTTTCTAGTTGTACTCTGCTCTTGCAATGTTAAGTTTGAGAACAACACTTATTGGTTGTGTTATGTATGCACTGTGAGTAACCCTGAACAGTCGACAACACACTTACGTCTGTCTTGGTTATTATTGTTTTATGTAGACATATTCAGCTTCGAATCACAAGTAGGTGAAATTCCGTCCCCATGATGATAAAAGTCTGGCTTGTTTGGGTATCAGCTGATTGATGGTGGTAGAATAAAAACCTGACAAATCACTGCAATTCTCAGAGAATATGCCATGCATGGAATGGTTGACTACTGTTAAAGCTACTGAAGAATAAGAAGCTGGAATAAATGAAGTTTGGTAGAATGAACCAGGAGTTTTGTGAATCAACGCATATCCACTTGACTATTCATAAGCTCATATGTCGTTCTTAACATGCATCTGATACTTTGTTTATTCGTTTTCCAGTGTTTCTTTACAACTTTTGTGTTCAACACAAAAGAAGGAACTGTATTTAATTTCACCTATGACGTTGTTTTGACGGCATTTTCGTAATCATGCCGCACTGCACATTATCTCTTAACATTTTTTGAGTGCAATAATTTCGAATAAGGCAAGAACAATAGTTTTTCCAGAGTAAAATGGTGCCATCATTTATTTCGTTGGCTTGTCATCAGCTGCATACAGCTTTAAGCCAACGAAATAAATGATGGTTACATTCGATTCTGCGAAAATAACTGTTCTTGCTTTAATAAAATTAATTATAGGAAATGAATGTACTATGATTTCCCTTCACAGATGGTGGTAACACTTCAGTGTCTTACTTTCCTCCAGCTTAGACGAACTAAATTGTTTACTCATCTTGACATTCGATTCAAATTAGACTTCAACCATTCATAGAAACACAACACACACAATTAAAACAACCGGGATTTCAGCGCCGTGCTTCTACAAGAACGGAGGGAAGAATTCTACAGACAACTGTGAGCAGTAAGGCACACCAAACCAAATAGCAACATCAGAATGCGAAAATGGAAGCAAACAAGAATAGGAGGCAATTCTTTGTAGGTCAAGAGGTTGTGGGTGAAATAAATGAGGACGGTGGACCTTTCGCATACTTCTCTGACTTCACTCAGCCATTCACTGCAGGTAGCAATACAACATTTATGAAATAACATATGTTTCATGACTTGGACAAATAAAATTTCAGATGATTCTCATCTCGATCTCAGGAATGTGATGATTAAGCATTCTGGACATAAAGTCGATAAGACAATCAGACGTGACAGATTGGCGAGTGAAGCGGAATATGTCGCAGAGAAGAAAGACCTCAGATTACTAAATCAGTTTGACGTGTAGGTGTCTTCGAAGAAACCAACACTGATGACACCAAAGTTGATAGATATAAAAAAGGAGAAACGACGTAAACTCTCAAAACAGACCACGACCTGCAAACTATCCGTAAATACCATTAACAGCAAACACAGTACTCGCAGTGAATATCAATTCTCCGAAATAGGCAAATGTTGCGATTATATTAGATGAGTTGAGATAATCTACAGAAAGCCCTGGACTTAAATTTCGTGCTAGTTAGCACTCACCAGTCAGCAAGGCGATTCTGCAACCAGTTTGAAGGAACTCATGTCCTTTCCTTGATTCGAACCCGCGTCACTCAGAGCTGCTGCGCTAGTAACTAGTGTTCAATAAAAGTATCCACTACAATCCTACTGGAGGTCAATCGTGAGTCCGAATAACTCAGTGGTCACGTCTCTGACTGCAGAACAAAGTGATGCCGGTTCAGTGGCCACATTACAAACCTTACTGGTTGAATTCAGTCTGCACCAAACAAAGGACTAGACGCGTCACACTAGTTATTAGTGACCAATCAAAGCATCAAACTATTCGAATAACATAATGCTACTGTAAGTTGGGAAGTTAACAAAACTAGGTGGAATTCCTTCGAAGGTAACTCATCGGATATACTCACGCCACTGTTGCATTACATTTTAGATGAAAGAAATTTGCAGGCTGGTCAGACGGATAGGCTACCTTGTCAAACTATAACCGAAATGTGACTTATATCTCTGCAAGAATTGAACGAGGAATAATGCTTCCTCCCGATCCAAGCAAAATACTGACTCGTGTCATCCTAGCAAGATAAAATGATGGAATGAATGCGAAAATCCCCCGATAACAAGCTGGATTCAAGAAAAGCAATTCATGTACGGATCAAATCACAAGGCTATACTTCATCATCGAGGAGAGCACAGGATCGCAATTGAATATCAATCTCAACTTCAATGACCTTGAAAAGTCTTTTGACAGCATTGGAAACTACGGAGGGCAATGCTCCAAACAGCTATGTGAGTATGTCAAATTCCAAGAGATCCACAATGGAAATCTCAGTGAGGCTTATCGCAGATGGTACTCCTGGTTGTTGGCGACTGGATCGTGTGAGAGACCGTGTGAGACCAAACACTTTTGCAGAAGAATCAGCCACAAAAACACGTCTTCAGGTGAGCATAGAGAAAATAGAATCGTTGAACATAACTAACCTACCAACCATTAAACAGCAACGGCAGATACATAAGGGAAGTCAATTCTTATACTTATCCAGGAAGCACCATTTCAACTGCACGTGGTGACAGGAGTGACGACATCGCAGTCAGCTGAGGTCAGAAAAGTAATACTAAATTTCTCCGCTTTCAAGTCAGTTGGCGATTTTATTCTACCCAGTATAAGGGACGAGATGTGGATCATCAACACATGTCAAACTAATGCTTCTACATGATTCAGAGACTTATCGTATTGGCAAAAGCATTAACAACAGACTTTTGTAAACACCTGACTTTGATGCCCTAGTAATGAAGAAAAGGAGGCTTGAAAGCACTAGCAACAAGTAAGTCTGATGGCAAACCAGTTATGCACCTTCTTCCCAACTACAATGGAATCCAAAGAGGAGGATAGTTTGGCGATGTGAATTTGAGGGCTTATTTTCCACTTGCAACTCAAGTGAGTAATAATAATATTTTGGAAAAGAAGCTGAAAACAGCTGGAAGAGCAGCAGACAACAATAAGCCTCAGATCCTATTTCCAGCAGAAATCGCTTTCGCCAGTATCCAATTTATAAAGAGAATCTTCAACTACACCCACAGATGAGTTCATGAGTTCCAGTAGCCTGCTTTAAATCACCAGACAAGGATGACAGTTCATGCGTCAGTAAGGGGTAGGAAGGTGAGTGATACAAAAGTTTTCGTGCCACACCCTAGACAGACGTTATTTCAAACATTAGAATCAGTCAGCGTTGTTCTGTTACCATAGATGTTATCACAAATAGACCAAGAGGTACATTTCATCTTCTTCACATGATAACAAACAAACGAGATACTCAGTCATCTTCGAAAGGATCACAAGTGTGCATCTTTGATTCATTGGAATGCATGAAATATGACATAAACTATTGATTGAAAAAAGACCTGACCAAAAATATTCATGGCTGTCATGTATTTCAAAAAAACGTTAAAGGCTATGAAAATTGTCGTTTCAACGATTTCTATCATAAGCTGTAATTATATTTAACAAGGAAACCATAAGACCGATCAGAAATTGGTAAAATGTGTCCTCGAATAATGGTAATACTTAATGCAAGGTGTAACCTAGAAGGAGACAAATTTTATCAGTATTCCATTAGTCTTATTTTTTCTTTGTTAAATATTATTACCATTGTACAGCTTATGAAAATGAATCGTTGAAAAGAAAATTTTCTTCCCTGTTTACATCTTTTTCTTAGGACTCAAAATGAGAATAATTCGTTCATTGTTATTTATATGCAGCTATGTACAGAATTTGATGAAATTACTCACCAGGTTTTATTATTGTTTTGAAATTCCGGCGATCTTTGAATTTCTGAATTTCAGTCATACGAACTAAAACGAACAATTGCTTGAATAAAAGTTCTGACAGAATAAATGTCGACCTTTAGGCAACATGAAATCAGGCTTTTTGTCTTTGTGTAACTAATTATTCATGTAGTTTGCCTGTCCTCCTTGCATTATCGACACATCTTCAGATAAGTGTAAATACCTAGCGCAAAATCCGCTGCTAAACAGTACTAAGTGAAAGGCCTTTTAGCCTCATCAAAATAACTCTGCAACTGCTATTCATTTCATCTCAGTCAATAATATGCACATGCATCCTGGATATTTTCAAGTTTCCTGAAATAGATGAAGCACTATCACTCATGTTGAAGCACCAGTTTCCTGTTCTACTTTACCAGAATGATTTGCATGCTATTACATTTAGGTGACATTACATACATCTGTTGACATGAGAAATATATCTCCCCGAATTTAACAGGAGATAAGCAGCTGTAGAAGATATTTTTAGAAGCTACTCAGTGTTGTCAGTGATTGAATTGGTTGATAAGCCGTCTACAAATCAAGACAAGCGATACAAGTAGTAATAAAATGTGAACACTGATCGTTACAGAACAGTCTAAAGTGAAGAAACAAACATGTAATGATTTCCTGTGAAATAAACACATACATTTATAATCCACAGCTTCCCGGTATGACTCTGCGTATATGTCCAGTGTTGAATTCAGATCATCTGAAATGGAGAAAAATAATTCGCTCGAGCTGTTTAACCCTCCATTCACCAGGTCATAAGCACACACAAAAATAAAATTCTCTTGTATGTAACAAATGAGATAATTGGCCGATTCAACTGTTTCTGAAGTCCACAAACAAACAATGAAAATCGCCCCAATCAAAAGTTACACTCATCTCACGATGCATTTTACTACTAAGAGGTAAAATTGTTCTTGCATATTCAATTTTGTCAAATTTTGTCTACAACCTCTAAAAATAATCATTTTGGTATTCATTTTTCTACAGTGAGATGACGTTGGCGCTTGTAAAAAATTATATTTGTAAAATCTCAACGAGAGTGAAATGAATAATTCCAACGTTTGGTTGATTGATGTTGTCCTGATAAAATGGTATTTACAACAGGCAATCAGTTGAATACATCTGAATATCTTTACAACGAGTATTCACATAAATGCAGAAAATCCACCACCACAGTCCATTGTAAACTAAGACCTGTTACCCTCACAAGTAGAAGATGAGGCACACCTGTGAACGGTAGCTAAACAGCAGATAGATCAAAGTCATGCTGGAAAACGGACAGTGGATCGGAAATGAAGCTAACCTTCTACTACACGATTTGAGATCAAACATACTTTTGTAAAGCGTAAAAGAGATAATCCACAAAACCGTCTCCAGTAGCTAATAATAGTCTGTCAGTAAAAAGCCTATTGCATGGAAGAGAAGGACACTGTGACAAAATGTAGCAAACTCTTACAGTGAGTATCTAACTTGTTTTCACCATCTGAAAATAAAATCGAAGATAATGGCTCAAATGGGATTCAAGTAAATGGTGGTAAGAAAAAGCACACCAATCAAAAAATATCTAAAAATTTCACTGAATGATAAAACAAGTTTGTATAAAAAAAGAAAACCTCGCTTGGTTAACTAGCGAGCTACTTTTCTAGCCAGTCTTAGATCTGGCTGAAGAGGGAGGGTTGGGCATGAGGCCAACAAATAAACCCACTGAATATTTCAATTCGCTAGCGAAACTTCAACACAGGGAAGATATATTAGGAAATACATAAACATTCAAGTAAAAATCGTATTCTTCGCTCGAATCGCAGAGGCGAAATGACATGAGAAGTCAGTCAGTCGTCCGAAGTGTCTTCTGTCGCTTAAAGCAAGAGTAAGAATGGTTACGTGGAATATTAGAACAACGTACGAGACTGAGAAGGCTGTCCAGGTAGCCTAAAAGATTCGAAGAAATGTAGTAGGAGAACTGTGTATTTGGGAAAGCAGATGGAATGGATGTGGATTGTCAACCGGAACCTCAGTTACCTACTCCAGTCTGATCACTCAGACGACAACCACGAACACACTGGGGCGATGAGTGGCTATAGTGATGTCACCAGTGGCAGCCAAAGCACTAATGCAATGCGAATCAATTACAACCAGGATCATGCCAGCAATGTTCAACTCAAAATACAGAAAAGAAGGTCATAGTTATCCAGTGCTACGAATAGTGCTACAAAACACGCGGAACAATAGAAGAAAGAATACTACAAACAGTAATGGACATCATCCCAACTGGTGACATCAAAATCCTTAAGGGCGATATGAATATCGGTCGAAATGGTAGCAAACAATACGGGCAGAGAACTCATCCTGAGTCGAGAGGCTCTCCGAGAAATGAATGAGAACAGAGAACTATTCCCTGATGTCCTCGATGATTTCGATGATTTGGTGATTAGAGGGGCATGTACGAGCACAAGGATATACGCAGAATAATCTGTGTTACGCCTGTTGGGCACATGAAAAACCCGATAGACTTCATCTCAATTCTGCTCGTAGAAGTGTAAACGCTACCAGCCTGCTGGACACAAATTCGAGATGGGCTCAGACCATCATCTTGTTCAAGGAACCTTCAAGGTAAAGCTGAAAGCCTTCAGAAAACCTGGAAACCGGCAACTGTAATTCAAGTTCAATAATCAGAAACTACAAGTGATATCTTCACTATATATCAGATCACAGTAAACGGACACCTGGAAGCTTATCGAGGAGAGAAGTATGATGAAAGAAATGACTTAATGCAAAGATGAACAATAGAACAAGAAGCCGTATGCAGTGTACATTGCACTGAATAAAGAAGTGAAAAAGAGCGTCAGAAAAGACAAACTCCTATTCTACGATACACTAGCAATACAAGCCGCAGGCAAAAGAGACATCAGGACACTATATCAGATAATCAAATCGCTATCCAGGAAGAGATCGACCCAGATGATGAAATTAATAAAAGATGCCTAAGGGAATCTGGTCATCAAGGAGGAGAAACAAATCAAACAATGGGCTGACCACTTTAAACGGGCTAACTCTTGAATCGACCACCAGCGGAAACTCGCCCAGCAATACCATCAACAGCACACATGTAAATGCCAGTGGACACCACTCCTTCAACGAAAGAAGAAGTCCTGAATGCGATCAAGCTAGTGAATTTCAGGAAGGCAGCAGGACAATATGACATTCCTCCCGAATCACTGAAGAAGGCCTCATAGACTACAGCAGATGTCCTCACTCCAATACTGCAAATAGTTTAGAAAGAAGGAAAGATGCCTACTAACTAGAAGAAGGGCTACCTCGTCAAACAGCCAAAGAAAGGTGACTAACGCCTCACTCTGCAGGAACTGATGTGGAATAATGCTTTTGTCCACACCAAGTAAAATACTAAGTCATATCATCCTGGAGAGAATAAAGAATGCACTTAATACAGAACTCCGCCCACCGTCCAGAACAGGCTGGATTCAGGAAAGGTAAATCATGTGCTGATTGAATTGGAACTCTTCACGTCGTCATCGAACAAAGCATAGGACGGTGGTCAAACCGCACTCTACACCATTTTCATCAACTTTGAAGAGGCCTTCAATAGCGGTGACCGAGAGGTAATTTGGAAATTACGTCAACACTATGGCGTAACTCAAGTGTTTGTCAACCTCATTCGACAGCTGACCATATGACAATGCCACGTGTCTAGTGATGCATTACGGAAACTCAGCGAGGTGTTCGAAATGCAGTCAGGAAGAGGAAAAGCTGGATTCTAGTTATCACCGATGGTATTCTTAACTGTGGTGGGCTGGATTATGAATTAGACTGTGCATGAGAGTGAGAGAGTAAACAGAAATGTGTTGGAACAACATTAAGAAGACTCTAGAAGATCAGGATTTCGCAGATGATATATGATTAATGTAACATGAACTCGCAGGTTAACAGGCAAAAATCAACAAACTGTCAGGCAGCGAAAACACGACTGTGGGTGAACACAGAGAAGATGGAGGTTATGAAGATAACTAGAGAACAGCAACACCAACCAGCACCAATCATCATCAATAGGATATTTGTAACAGAGGTAGCCTCCTTCATTTATCTGGGAAGCATTGTTTTAACAGCAGGCCAGTGGAGCGAACGAAGATATTAAAGTCAGAATCGGAAAGGCAAGATACACCTTCATCAACCTGAATCCAGTTTGAAAATGTTCTGTAGTCAGCATAAGGAACAAGATTCGTATTTTGAACACCAGTGTGAAGTCAGTCCTTCTATACGCGCCAAAAACCTGGCTGGAGTGTCACGAAAAATACTTCTAGCAGGTTGCAGACTTTCACCAACAGCTGCTTTCGCTACACACTTAAGATCAAATGGATCGTCAGAAAGAATAGGCAACTAAGAAAAGGCAAAGAATAGGCAACTATGGGAACAAATCACCCAAGAGCTGATTAAGCAACAAATATAAAGGAGAAAGTGGATAATGGATCAGGCATATATTGACGAGACCGTCAAATGACATCGCGCGCCAGGTCAGTGCTATAGTGGAATCCAAATAGGAAGCGATGAGTGAGCCGTCTTTGGGTGACGTATATGAGATCGTTTGGAGGAGAGATGAGAGAGTTTGGTCAATCACGAACTCAGCGGAAAACAGAAAATAGTGGGAATGTGTTGTTGAAGTCCTGTTTTCCACTCAAAACACAAGCTAATTATAAATAATTTAATAAATAATAGAAAGGAAAATGCATATGGATGAGCGTAAATAATGGTCGTCAAATGTGGTGGTTCTCATGACTCACTGGCCTGCATGAAATTTCACCCAAAATAACGCATCTTACTTTGTCTAATTCTTATTGTCTTAACCAATCACTGATGTCGTGGATCCGCAAAACGCTCTTACGCATATTTTTAGTTGACTTTCTAACTGCCTGTGGGCCTTTCGCGGACACGAAGAAAATTTTAACTTAAGGAATTATCTTATTCTTTAGTTGTAACGGCAATGCATGACGTGCTACTGAGTGTACCAACATTTACTTCAAGCAACGTAAACCTACACTCAGTCTCAACATCTTACGCGTTTCCGTGTGAACAATCATTACATGAACCATCGGAAAAAATTCTTTTACGGAGAATTCATACAAAACAAGAGAAAAGTAAGTTCTGAATTGTAAATCAAATCGCTCATTCTCAATGAGAAATAAGCGTGCGTAGTATACAACGATATAAATCTATCCAATGATGATAACTAACCACATATAATTCTAAATAAAACTGACTCTGATCCTGTGGAATATTTATATAATGTATGACACCAGGCATCGTGTGTGTGTGTGTGAAATCGTGTGAAGAGGAGCTGAAACAGTATGGACTAACATGGATGCAGGTGAAAAGTACAGCTGAAGACAGAAACAAGTGGAGGCGTGCAGTTGTAGACCTATGTTTCACTAGGAACCCAAGGGAACAATAATAATGACACCGGGCAAATAAGTACGTCTCAGTAAAGAAATTATTTGAGAACCAGCAACACCAGTGGAATTTACCGCGACAGCGGTTGGTTATTCTGGAGCAACTTCACGCACATTGACCTGATAGTGCATCACTCAATCACACCCTCAAATAAAACACAAACAACATCTGTGCCTGTAGATGGAAAGAAACAATTGACAAAATCATCAACATCAGATATTTTCACTGTGATTCGTAGTGCCGATCGGTGACTGAGAGATAGATGTAGTGCAAAGGAAATCTCCTCAAGGCTGCGAAGAATGTTGAAACACAAAACATCAGAGATTTGTTTCGATATTGTCAACATTGGCACAATTGGAAATCAAAACACAGAGATATTTCACAAACTCAGACTCGAGAGAACGATATATCAGCAAATACAGCCGATTGATCGAAACTCAAATTCATCACTAAATCAAAACAGAATGATAAACAGTAAACCATGATAGCATAAAATGAAATAAAATATACACCACTGCACTGTCACAAAAGATTCAATCTAATTAGATATTTAAATGCATACAGGAGTGTGAAATTCGAACGAGATCAGGGTTTTGTTACTGGTACTTCAGTAGAAACAGTGAAGTCGATAGTGGTTGATGCATACTGCTGGATGGATCATGGAGGCTGTGCTGGTGGATTGACAGGAGTGGAGAGAGCGAGTGTTGGATGAATAATGAACTCACTCACCAACTTATGCCTGTCATCTTACAATGAAATTTATACTTTTGCGGCAGATTTTGATCCTGTTATATGAGTGGTCATCACGCATGTACATGCGTTGATCTAGAGCATTGTCCTCGTTCTAACAATTATTCCAATCTATGTGACACCCATAGAACCCCATACCATCTCTGCCAGGGGAGATTGAACCCAGGATCTTCAGGTTGACGATAGGGCTAATCAATAACCTTTGTGTTTGATTTCAGTAATATTTAGCTCGAAATTCCTGCCAATGTACACTATCATTGTTAGAAGATTGTTGGCAAATTTCCAATTTGGTTTTAGAGCGACTAGGGTCTTACTTGAAATTTCGATTGTGATTGTGACATTCTTATCCATATTAACTAACATTAGTTGGTAAGATGTCGCCGACATAAGTGAAGGAAGTAAGCACTTTCACTTGTGGTTTTCCACTTTATAAACACAAATTTTCTTGTGTAATCGTGTTCTCGATCTTGGTAGTAAAGCAGCCACGTTTTCATATTGTGCTCAGTCCTCAATATTTAGTCTTGGAAGACAATCGATAGCTTAGCAATTACACCACACAGCTAGGAAACCATAACTATGACACTGTCACCCACTTAAGACGCCGATCTTATCTATCACAGATCATCTGCTCAGTATCATGCTGGCTCATGAGGAAGATAATATCGAATTAGATAAAGTCAGAATTGTAGTCGTCGTCCATCTTATATATAGGAAAGGAGAAAATTCACCTGCAAATTATTTTACCATCTCAGAATAGCGTGAACTATTCTGTTTTAAAAATGTATCTATCCTTGATTATCTATTGTGAATTATCTGAATTGCTGACGATATTCCTTCATTTCACCTTGTTTTGAAGACCTCACTACTAACACTACTTATATATATATTTAAGTAGCACGCAGCACACTTTTGAAATTCTGTATTAGGAAGATTATGCATTCTGAGATCATTACGGAAAGATGCTGTTCACATAACAAAGAAATCAAATCATTCAATTTTTAGTTGACTGTTGTGGATATTCAATGTGGAGGTTATTTGAACTATAAAACATGAAGAGACTCTACAGAAATTTACGAAAAGAGGATTTAGTGCTTCCAAAACGTGTTAAAGTCCTATTGGTTGTTGTCATACATAAAACTGACTATTTAAATAAAATAATGACATTATTCAGTGATCTGCAGATGCTGTGACATCCAGGTTATATGGTCTACGTAAGATCCATAAAAGAGACTTTCCACTTGGAGCAGTCCTTGATATGTCTACATCACCAAACCATTCAACTGCGAAATGTGTGGTACAATTTTTGCTACTGTCGCACACTAAATTATTAAAACATAGCCTTAAAGATGGTTTCCAAATTGTGGAGGGAACTGGATACCCGAAGGCGAAAGATTAGTTCATGGTTTTTCTGAGTGCATCTTCTTTATTGACTAATATCTCATCTGATAGAAACCCTGTAGTACATATATTTATAAATATTAAATAAGTTCAAGATTGTCAAGTTGGTCACTTGGTAAGGATAACAAAACTATGTGCAGGTGGTTAGATATGAGAAGTGAAAGACGCTATAAGAACAGCATGTCTTTACATAGCAATATTGCGTATCACATTTGTGTTTACTCTGCCACTTCACGGGAGACGAGGTTGGTGGTATTGGAACCACGTCAAATTCTATCTTTCTCCATTATTTCCAATTGGAGAGTTCGCATCACATTTAACATCAATTACTTCTGATGTTCGACGTTCTTTGTGATTTCTCACATTCATCCGGATTGTCAAAATCAATTATATGGTCTGACTCCTTCTACCGTGTACACCCGCCTGATGACTTTTTATGCTTTTATAGTTCAAGTGAACTACTCGATGGTTGTATAGATGACCAATAGTGTCAATTTCTCCTGGTCTTGATTTCTCACGGGTAACTGTCTAATGTATATCGCATCACATTTCAATACGTATTACTTTATAACTACAAACAGATTGTGCATTCCTTGGAATTTGGTTTTGAAAACAAGAATTACCGTATGTTGAATAAAGATTATTAGGCTGTGATATATAAGCCTAGCTATCGTGAATTTTGTTTTAATATTGGCACTTTGAGAAAGCCGTCAGCAGAATTAAATATCGAAATGTTAGTAGAAAGAACGCCGTTCAGTTTTCCACTTATGAGGAATTACAAAATTCTTGTTATTATTTTCGACTGAATTAAAACTATCCTTTGTTGGCAACATAATCCTTACTCATTTTACTATTATTATAAGCTTCACAATTTCTGATATCTAGATTTTTCTCTAATAACTGATTGTTTATTCTTGTGCTGCGACTGACTTATGATTCACTGAGCTCCTAATATTCATCGCGCAGACCCGTTCCGCTTTATCTATATAAGCTTTGCCTGTAAAAACTCTCACCTGTCGTTCCGCATGATCGATTCACTACAGTTTATTTATTTTTCAGCCAAATATATCCGCTCTCAGTTTAATCGCTTAAGTAGAGCAGGTCTAACGTTTATTAACTAAGGCTGTGTAATTTAGAGTACAATAATAATTCACTTGAGGGATCAGTTGCTTATTCGGGAAATTCTTCCACTAATCGTGTTTGCTCACTATTTTGTAGCCCATAGGTAATTATCCTGTTTCCTTCTAGTTTTAAGGTCAATAAAAGTTGAATATCTGTTTCTTCCTTCAAGGGGCCAGTATAGCTAGATGGGTTATTCGCGATGGTATTAATAGCCTAGATTTAAGTTTTTGTTTTCGTTGACCATTCGTAATACCCTATTATTTTCAAAATGTAGGTAATTTTCAGTGGGTCAGAAAATATATTCTGTGTGTTGACCATAACTCTAAGAAAAATGAATATCACCCGAAGCCATGCAATATTATGAATAATTCAAATATCCACGTGGTAGGGCATTCAGTAGGCTTTCAACTCTTACAGAAATTAGAAGACTTTAAGAGTGAAGGGAAATAAAGCAGAAATATGGACAGCTTCTAAGATTTTGCAGCGTTTGATTAGCCTTAAGAAACGGTATTCTAAAATTAGATTAATTAATGTTCTATTGCGTCATATCTAACTATTTATTTATTCTACCTGCGTGTCGGTGGCACAGTGGTTAGGACTCTCGCCGACCATGCACATTGTCCGGGGTTCGAACCCCTACCGACGCACACCCGATATCTATGGTCGGCCTGCAAAATTTGGGCTACCGATATCCATGCTGAAAATGTCATACTTGTACTGAAAATACGATGTGGCATCAAGCTGTAATCAAAATAAATAATAAATAAATAAATGTCTCTCAGTGTACCTCTAGTGGTACATATATATTACTGTATTCAGGGTGTTCAGTTGAGGAGGAGTTCCATTAAAATTTGATGAATTCATGAAATTCTGCTCTATTACCTACATACATGCATATCGGGAGATAAACGCTTTCAGCGAATGACAGTTGAGAAGAAAAGTTAATCAACATAAACTGTAACACACTGCACATACTTTAGGTAAGACTGTGGTCAACACAGGGTGATTTTATTCTGATTACACCTATAATAATTCAACTAACCAATAAGTCTTTCATCTGTCGAGAATTAAAATGATAATCTAACTCACAGTTTTAAGTTTAACTTGAATAAAATCAGCTAAATAACAGGAAATCCCATGGATATTTAAAAGCTCAACACACTTGCACTTAATTCACTCTAGATTGATATTCCCTCTCTTCAATTTAATGATTTGTTATTCAAATTTGTCGCTTTAATGGAGATGATTTCGGTAGTTCAATTGAACACAAAATGCTTATTTACGTATTTAGATAATCAGGTCGAATTGACTTTACTTCGCTGTAGATAAATTATTCAAGAGATGAAGTCGAACTCTTCCACACACTCACTTCAAAAAATCCAAGGAATTCATTTACATTGAATAAAATAATTCTAAGCTCAAATGAAATATTCAGATTTCATTCCTTATATTGGTAACCTTTGATTAATTTGGGTGCAGAACTAACATTAGTTTAGAGCATTATTGAAAAGCATATATTTCTTCGTAGTATATGACTGTTCAACACTATTCGCTTATGACCTAACTAGAGATCTAACTTTCCAGATTATAAGACTGGTGCGTAGATCATTAAATCATTGGCTAGGAATCTACAGGCCCAGGCATTCTAACTTCAGCTAATCCGCTAATGTAGTCCTACTATCAGCCAACGCCGGTACGGACATTCGCATCAGAACTAAACACCCGTTCAGATGTTCAATGATTATCTCTCTAAGTTGTAGTCATAACTAAATCTGCACTGAAATTCACCTTTGAATAGTTACAGCGATGAGTAATTAACTATTTTAAATAAAAGTGAGAAAAGTTTGATCGAAAAATTATAATACAAGAAGCAAAATATTAATATTTCGACAAGTTGTAAAAGAGAATGAATAATCAACTTACTTTCATTACTTGCATTGTTATCAGATAATAGGAGCAGTAGGCAACATAGTGTCTGTAGTAGTAAATTTTGCATGATTCAAAATCTCTCAACAGTGTATTTTGTCAGTGGTATCTGCTGAAAAATTATTTATGCCTGAATCTCTCAAATATAGCCTTTTTATAGTTATATTTGAGGACACACAATGTATGTATATGGTTTACATGTGTGTATTTCATTTTTGTGTTCATCTATCTAAAGATGCAGGTACATTTGCAAGTAACTCAGCATACTACGTGACATATAAAATCAGTCAGTAGTACATTGGTTACAGAAAAAACAACAGAATACTGATTCACTGTCTTTGTTGCTGTCTTTGGTCAAAATTTATGCGAAGGCAAAGCAACCAATCCTTTCTCACAAAACAGGCTGACATCTTTTTCAAATTTATTAGATTTCTTCAAGTTTCACATTGGTTAGATAACATTTAGCGAATCATTGAATAACAGGAGAGTGTACTGGACATCTGCTCCCTCTCCCTTACTTGGGACTCATAGGCAGTACTCAGCCATTTGAATCAGGATCAAAGATCTTCAGGTAACATGGAAAGTGTGTAGACCATTCAGCCATAAGGACCCAACTGAATGACCAATGCAAGAATTTTAACTTCTATCAATTGGTGTATTTAGCAGAATACTGTTGAAGTTGGTTATCAGTGCTTCACTGACCGATATCAATTCGTGGTCAAACATGAGAAAAATCAAGTTCTCACACACTATCTCTTGTAAATTATTCTGACTCCTACTAGTGGCTACCTGCAGAAAAAGTTCTCCTGGTGCGATTTCTAGTGATAACTCGTAACGATCGGGAGTAAGAACAAATACTCGCCGTCAGTGACGCTGGCTGCTGCCAGTCAGGCTAAAATCACTAATTAGTAGGAGTAAGAATTCATTGCCTTACCATTTGAATTCGGTCTCAGTGGCTCAATGGTCCACCTGCTTCTATTGCATTCGGAAGGTACTCCATCCAAACCCCAGTGGTTTCGTGTTTCCAATGAGCGCAAAGCTAGCCTGAAGAAGTAGCTGTTCAATATTCCCTTGTGTTTTTCAGTGCTTCTTTGACTTACAACAATCCTTTGTCAAACTTGAAAATTGTGAAGTTTTCTTTTATTTAATACACTTGACAATTATTCCGCTGCAAATTTTCGATACATAATGTATCTGCTGAAAAATGTCGGTTCAATAGGAATTCATTTTTACAGATATTTTGCTCATTATGTGTTCATTTTACTTTGTTTCATAGGCTGTTTTATCTTAGCTATAATTCCCGTATTCCGCTAAGGTGAATTACGAAGATTGACTCATAGTGCATATAGTGAATTGACCAGTAGACATTACTGAATCAGAAACATTTCACAAAACTGTCTCACAGTTAGCTTGAAAGCGGTCATACAAATAAGCAATAAGATAATTTCCCATATTGCGTGAATTTAACGCTAATATCTGATATTTTTTTAAATGAGTAATTTATTACAATTTCAATTGGTATAACAACTAAAAGAACTGACAAGTAGATGCACGAATTCGAAGATCATGTTTTATATCTAAACACAATTTCCAGATGTTGCATTTCTGGCAGCTTGTGGGCAGATACCTTTTGATCAACATGAAGCACAAGAAATAATTATTTACTATTCAGTCACTTACTACAGGAAAGATTTTCTGAGCTACAGACTCTTACGAAGAGTCGCCATAGTCGTCATTGCTTCTGTAACTAACGTTAATTAATGACAAAATCTACCTTTAGATTAAATACAATACGAAACAATTTTGTTGCGTTTGTGAATTTTCACAAGACAATTAGTAGAGGCGATGAATTTGAATTGTCTATTGAATTGACTCAACAAACTTTGTACAATTTGATAAGCACACACACATGTCTCAGGAATTTATGGGGAAGATATTAGGATGCTATGAAGTGGAAGAATTATCATGTTACTGTTTCTTTGAGTTGCCCATGTAAAACAGGGATTCAAAAGCATATTTCCAATTCGTTGTACTATCAGCTGTCATCTATATCCGGACACAAGCTTCCATATTGCCGCTCATCCCGCATTCGCATGATCTTCCGCACGGAACGATCAGAAACAGGCTTATCTCTGTGTATCAGTGATTTTTATTTGCACAAGTTAATAATTTCAGCAATCCTGTGAGAGGGAAAAGGAGTAATGAAATGTCACTTTTCATCAGAATTTCCGCTTTTAATTTGCTGGCATTTTGCAAAAGAATGATTTCGCATTATCACAGATATTCATATCAATATTCAAATCTATATATTTAATAAATAGCTGTGATGCTGTTTGGCAGACTGGCAAATGTACTACAAATGTTCTGGCAATAAAAGGAATCAGTGTTAAACTACAAAAGGTCATTTGAGATTTCAATTCACTTGCATCACACTGCCCAACAATGACGAAACCACTCCACCTATGAGAAATGCCGGCAATAAAAAAGCAGAACAGCTAACACACTCTTTCAACCTTTTAGTTAAGATGCAGGAGGTGGAAGTTACCCAGTCTTTCACAATTCTGGAGTCCAGTAAAAATATGACAGTCTAATTCAAACTGTTTGCAGCACACAAAACAAACACTGGTGGACTGTAGTGCGAACTGTTGGCAAGCAAAATTGAACACAATGAAATGTGAATACGAATGTTCTTGCATTTTTTATAAAATTTATTCCTTCACCAGATTTCACGTGAAGTAGCACTAATGTTTAGTTTACACATACCTATCGTTACGTGTAGTTATGTGGGGAATCAGCTGTGGAACGAGGATAAGAGTTTCACGCTTTTTGGTTCTAATGGCATCGCGTAACTACAACACATAAAGGACTAACGCGTTTTCAGAGTCTCGCATTCACTAGTAGGAGAGTGGTACAATATGTCCTGTCCTCATTTCAGTTCTTGATTTTAGTGAATAATGGCTCAAAACGTAATCAGTTAACACTAATGTACAACACTTTGTCATTTATCAAAACAACATCTAATCGACACTGGAGTAAAATCCCACTGTTTTTATGAATTTACATGCACCTGTGGTCACACGTAATAGAGACGACTTGTGGATTACATATAAGTTTATTTTAAGTACTCCACAGCGATGGAGCATTTACAACTGGATTATGTTTCGAGCATGAATTATTGCCCATAGCCATAGTAGATTTAGTCACACGGTTTCACACATTTTCCTTTTGCATATTCTGTATTTCTGTATATTTAACTTCCATTTGATACTTTCGATATTTTGGTGTAGACGTTGCGTAATTTCGATCACAAGTGTGTGAAGTTTAATCGATAAAATAGCTTATGTGACTAACCTGTCTCTGTCTACCTACCTGAGTAGAACTCACAGTGTTATACAGTATTATTTACTGATGACATTTGGAGCACAATTTACAGCTCATAATAATATCAAGGTACTCAAAACGAAATTAGAAAGTTGCGTGAGCACCTTGATATGATTATGAGCAATGCATTGTGCTTGAAACGTCATCAGTAAATAATGTTGTATAACACTGTGAGACTTTATCAAAATAAATATTACCCATAATGGAATTATACTCTACCACAGTGTAGAAGTTCTGTACTTATATCACCGTGGAAAAACATTGAGACTCATTCTCTGAAAGTTACATTCAAGGAAACGTTTACAACTGTTCTAGGAAGAAATAAGAGAAGCAGAAGGGACTGGCTCTCAGAGGATACCTGATAGAACAGGATGGTGAAACAGAAGACGACCAAATGCAAAATGGACAACCGAAGGAGACTCTGAGTTCAATGTAAACTGGAATGAATAAAGATGTGAATAATAAAGAGAATGAAGATTGAAGAAGACTCTACGAAAAATTGTCTAGCAAGTGAAGCAGAACAGATGAATCTCACCAAGCATATCTAAGAGAGCGGTTATAAATTTGTTTTCAGTAATGCTGGTCTGTCAAGCAAGCATAGTTCCCTGAAGTGGAATATGGGAAATCCTGATGGATTCAGAAGCCTTCTTTGAAAGGTTCCAGCTCAGCTAGCAATGAAATTATCAGGACCGTAGCAGGGCAGTCTTCGCCCGATTGCATAACAGCTCACAGAGAACAGTCGAAGACTTCAGAGGTTTGTACCATATTGAAGTCATACTGCAACCCAGGTCTCTTCCAATTCAGTGCTTCATGACAAACAAGGTATCTTGACATACCCAAAACGTATTCTGGCCTTCTCAACTGATTCAGTTTCACAACTGCATCAATCAATTTACCCTCCTTTCGTATATCCGCACCCACCTAAAACGACAGCGAGACAGAGCATCACCGACTACGTTAAGGTCAGATAACTGCCTTATTTCCTTCAATTCGAACTGTGAGATACTAAATATCTATGCACACACACAGTCACATTTACCTACCTGCCACCTTCCATTACTCCGTTGAAATCAGTGCATACTCAGCTTGCAACTTGTTAGTATTTTATGCAAAGAAAAGTGCATTGAATTGTCTGCAGATATTAAAATAAAATGAAATATCGTTCTAGCTGTAACTTCAACTTGTATACAGAATTTCATAAAAATGTTGAAATTTATTTTCTAATATTCTTCATATTTAATTAATAAACTAATATTACTATTTTGTTTTCTTCTTTTATTGGTCTTTATCTGCGTGACCTACATTCTGCGGAATCTTTTGGGTTATATGTTATAAAATATTCTTATCTAATTATCTTTAATTAATCCACGTTTATTTTGTCTTAATTAAGTAATGCAAGCAATGTCTTACTGAGGTGAACCTCTGTTACTCTTGTCAGGTTGTTTTTTCTTTGTTTATTTGTTAACTTGTCATCTTGAAATATTTGCGTTTGTTTTTCTCTTCCAAATCTATTTCATACTCAGATGAGTGTGTAATTTTTATTCAGTTAGCTTTCAAAGCATCCTAGTCAGTCTAATTAGTCTTCTTGTAAGCCAGAATGTGAGAGTACTTTCACCAATTCACAAACCACAACCATCTGGAATATATTTTACATAAGAAAGACTGTTGAGAAACGAGGAGAACTTCTCGGTGCTTATTCAGCGTATTCAGTGAATGCACTCTTTCCGACGAATTCATTATCTATCTGTGCAATCACATGTGAATGTTTTTCTCCAAGAAATTATTTCCGGTGTGTGAGTGGAATCAAAGTTTTGAATACATGAAATAATAATATCAC